TGCCTCTTCACTGCAACAAGGATCCTTGAAAATATTTTCTTTTAAATCTGTAGTGGGGAGAAATATGTGAGTCACATTTTCAAGCCTGTTCCCAGTGTTTCCAGCAGCCATTCAGGGAGGGGCTTTTAAGGCCTGAGAAAAGCCTCAACCTGTAGGTGTGTAAAATGAATTCACGGCCATGAAGATGATGCCACGTGGACTTCTTCCAGAGGCACTAAGACTATCATAAACTCTCATGTGGCTGCCAGCCAACAGCTTGCAGCTGAGGTAGGTTTTCTGCTAACCAGCTGGGGTGATGAAGCACATCAGAAGAGGCAGACTGGAAGCAGGAGAAATAGCAGGACAGAAACCATGAGTGAAAGCAAGTGACTGCTGAGTTCTAGCACTGAGATTCTTTCTATGACTAGACTCAGTAGCAAGAAGATTTGGCTATACCATTATTACTCTATACCACCTCTTCCTCCTCTCTTCAAGCCATTGCATTTCCCCACTGCAGTCACCACAGCCATGCTTGAATTTGTCCCATTTGTTTTTACTCTCACATTTCCTCAGTGTGTTCATGACAATGAAAAAATGACCATTAACACCAAAATGCCATTTTCTGGAGCCGCCATTTTAGTTAGAGAGTTGCAGGCAATGTGACTGCCTCTATCTCCTTCTCCTTTAGCTAAGCGACCACAAGAATAAAGAAATAGTATGTGTCTCGAGAGGAATAAGCTAAGAGCTTTTTACGGTAGAAAATGTAGTCTGAGACCTTGAAGGAAGAGTTGCCAGCTTTCTAGCTGCCTCTGTGGTAGGCAATGACTACATTATCTGCGCTGGATGCTCTCCTTATTACATAGTCTACAGGGGCTGATAATATCAAAGATGTCTATTCTTTTCATACCACTATTACTATCACAGCTTGTCCAAGAAGAATATTTTAGCTGAGGAAGGAACTTTGGTCATCTGAAATGTGACAGCAAGCACAGCTTTTCTGTTCAGCGATTCTTATTCATTCTCCCATCCCTTAACCTTCTCTTGTAATTTGGGGGAGTTATGTGGATTTTCAGTCCTCTGTCACTCTGCACAGACAATTCTAGCCAGCAAAATTAAAGAAGCACTCTGGTTGCTTCAGCTGTTTCAGAGTCTGAGAATGATTGAGTTTCAAATCAAAAAATCACCACTGAGCCATTAAAGACAACCATCGATGTGAGTGTTAAATGAGTCAAAGTGGAAATTAAGAACTAGCAGGTGGCACAAGGGGCTGTATATTGCTCCATAAGCACCAATTTAATCTGGCAGACATTTTCCAAAATTAGCAGACACCAATCATGTAAATCAAGACTAAGTCTCTCCTCACAAATCAGCCTCTTCCTGGCTGTACTTTAATGCTGAACTTCTTAAAATTGTTTTGCATCTCTTGGGCTTGTCTGGGGATGGAAGTGTTAAGCAGCAGGGAACAAATCCAGTCCTTCAGGTAGAGTTTCACCAGAGTCCAACGGCAAAAGAGAAAGGCTGTTGAAGGCATCGTGTCTTTTCATAGACACTTCTAAATAATGCTGATCTTTCTTCATGTTGATGTGTAGTGTTGTAGACTCCTGTCTATTGCACCTTTCTCTGTCACATCTTTCAGCATTTCAATATTTGCCCTCCTTTTGGAAATCTGTACCTCAGATCTTTTTTCAGTGGGTAGGGTAGTGGCTGCTTTCCGAGATTCATTCCCTTTCAATATTCCCAGCCCACGCATCAAAGCTCCATTCAGAAAATTATTCCATTTTTATGGGTCCAGAAAGATGCAATTTTGTAACTCTTTTGGCTGAATGGGCACACCTACTTTAGTGTTTTAGCTTGGATTAGGAGCACGCTTCAGAGTGACTCTCCCAGTTGTCCCCACTCGCTGTGTATTGGTTCACATCACTGAGTGGACTCAGAACATACAGACTGGATTCCTTCCAGAAGAAACTCTTGCAGGAGGTGTGCTCATGGAGCCTACCTACTCCAGCAGTTACTGAGTGTACTGCTCATGGATTAGACTAGAGCTAGTCCCAGGTAAACCTCCTGAGGCATGCACGGTGTGGATGTCAGGTCCTTAGCATCAACTGTTTTGCTTTACAAACCTACTTCTGTTGACCTGAGCTACTGCTAATGCAGATACAGTCAATAAATGCTATAGAAAGACTAAGCTTACTTCTGTGGCTAAAATTTTTGAAGTGGGTGTAGAAAGAACTTACTAAAGCAATGAAAAAGATGCCCAGTGGTTGCTATATAAACCATATCTTTGGGTGGATGAGTTACTCTGGATTACAAGCATTCACAGTAGTATAACTTACTTCTGGGGTAGCTTGAGTTTACATTTGGCATTTTAATAGTAGAAATATTTTAGTTAAAATAGGTCAGCTCACAGCTGAAATAGTTGTCATGGTAAATATTTAAGTCTAAACTAGTTCACAGAGTGAATGAGATTCAGACCTCAATCCACAGCCTAAAAAGCCACTTCCATGAGAGCACTGCAAAACTGATCTCCTGAAGCCTGAGGAGGGTTGTGTTCCCATTAAAACCAAGATAAAGGCTGGGAAGAACATCATAAAGATGTTCACCACTGGGCTAGAGCTAGATCTGTGACCTCTCTTGAGAATCTCTAAAATTGCGGTGATTAGGGAACAGGTAATGCTGTATGCTAAAGATATACAGATAAATGTTGCTCTCCTAACAGCTGATGGAAAAATTAGCATGCCATTATCTTTGGAGAAACCAATAAGCAGGTGCGGTACTCTAGGATGTTTTCTTCTGGTGTTCCTGACTTACTTCCCTCTTTCTCCATAAGTCCAAAACTTCTGCAGAAAGGCTATCTAAAGAAGTGATCACTTTAAGATATAAAGATGTGCTATTATGAGCCCTGTGACTTTCGGGGTTGGGCCTAGTTATCTTCCCATCAGGTTTGTGCTGATGCTAAGCTAACTTGCTATAATACAGCTATTCCTGATTTACAGTACTGCAAGTGTTAAAGAATCTGGCTATGCATGTGTATGGATATTTCAAAAGACATGAGACCAAAGGATAAATGGAGTTACTCAAGGATAATCCTAATCTCTTTGAAATGCAGTGCGGCATATCCCATTTCTGTTATAAGACGACATCTTCAAAGAAAATAGAAGAAACAATCCAATCTACACTTACTGGAGGATGGTTTACAGAATGTGACACCACTAGGAACTGGCAGCTTTCTCAATTCAAACCTGTAGATCTAACTGCATTTCAAAATCATGCCTTATACCATTGCCATCATGCCTGCTATTCCAAGGAACTAGGGCTCTGGTCGAAGGACGAACTCCTTTGGAAGATGTACAAGCTTCAAAGCTGATGATGTGCTGAAATGCTTTCCTAAACTGCGCCCTGGAGTTGATAGGACATTGCATAAAGGATGCCCAGATGCATTCATTGCTAGAGGAGCCGTTCTCATTGCACATGTTGCCTTATTTATTTGCTCCTCAGCACCATTCATGCAAATGTCTTCATCCATCTGGGATAAATGGGAGTGGTGATTACTTATACTGGTGCTCATACGCGCCCCAGATAGTATTGTTTCCTACTCATAACTCACCAGTTTTCAGACCACTTTCTTTGTTTGAAATTTTGTTTTACCAAATTGGAGGACAGAAGTAATATCATGTAAACCCAGTGGTCATCTGCACCATATGAATAAAGAACATTAAAATGCCACATAGAATAGAATGAACACTGCATGCACCAAAAAACTGTATGCGAAACATTTGGCAGACATTTGCTCTACTGAAAATTACAGCAAACTTCCAACGTATTTCCAAGCAGACCAAAGGGCTGTGTTAACATAATTTACTCATTGCAAACCATTCAGTCAGCCCTACTGAAAGGTGCATTGTAGTGAATGCTGTAGTAATCTTTTGAATTTTGGGAAAAGTTAACTTTCGTATTAACTTTGACAGTAGTCAGAGTGGGCCTTGTCTGATGCAACAAGTTTGTACAATAGACTTGCATCTCTTTATATGATTTCTATTTTGTATTATTATTATAATTATCTGTACTTCGGTGACTTCTAAGAGCCTCGGCAATGTACTAGGACCCCGTTATGCCAGCACTGCACAGATACAGAAAGAGAACATGTATAAAAACCTTCCAAGTAATCTGCAAGTCCCTCTGTGTCAGGATACGCTGTACACTGGGAATGACTTGTAAGCATTTTTTCAAAGCATCTGCCACTCAAATAATGGACTGAAATACCTTTGGGAAAGCTCTACGTGGCAGCATGCATTCGTATTAGGCATAGTAAATTTAAAACTCCTTCCCATATTACACAATAGTATTAGGTCTTTTCAGTTCCATTAAAATGAAAATGTCTCAAGACTATTGCATTTCTGCTAGGCATTTTTAAAGGAATAAATGAGAGAAAATAATGTAGAGGACAGCACACCATTATAATTCAATGATATGCTCATGTCATATTAAAGTATGACCAGGATTCCTGAAATAAATCAGACTCTGAAATCATTCCCCGTTTATGATTCACACAAACATGTTTTTTTGTTAGCACTCTGCAGATCAAAGAAAGAACATCTAGAAAAGCTGCGGAGTGTTTCTTTGCTCACTGGAATGAGAGTTTTGTGAATATAAAGCACAAGAGAAGCCTCTTTCTTTAGATGCCTCTTTAGTAGCTGAGTCACGTACATATTACTGGGCACGAAGGAAAGTTTTAAAACAGCCTGGCAAAATCTCAACCTCCCAAGAGTAGTTTTTTTAATTGAAAATATCATTAGTGTTTTCATTATTGTAGGAAAGGACAGGAAGTTAGCACTGCACCTTGACCAGCGTGTTTCCATGATATTTTTGCAGGAAGCCCTTACAATAATGTATGAAGTAGAAAATAAGCAAATAAATAAGAAAATGAGGGGGTTTTTTTGTTTTTTGTTTTTTTTTTTGCAGTGCAGCCCTGGGTTGCCAGCGCGAGTGAGCACAGGGGTCCCAGCAGATGGCGAGACCTGCGGGAGCGCACGCCGACGAGATAAGCCGCATGGGAAATAGGGAAGACGGTGACACCTGGGACATCGCTCCTGCCTGGGGGGGACCCCACAGCCCTGCTCTGGTAAGTGCAGAGGCTGCCCCTGAGCAGCTTTCTTAGTCCCATCTTTTTTACGCCGGAGCAACCAGGTCTGCATCCAAGATCCAAGACGGGGGAGCGCCTGGGATTTATACAGTGAGACGGTGACGTTTTTCTCTTTTATTCTGGGCTCCTTTCTTAATCACACCTAACACTCAGTTTGTCTTTTTGACCACTGATAAGCGCTGAGTAAATGTTAACTCTTTCCTGAGAGGTGAAAGTTATGTTAGTATTTTGATGTAGGTCCGTAACGGGTGTAACTTGTCTTTCTTGCGTCTCACCTCGCACACATTGACAGCGAATGTCAGGTTGCTGCGTGTTTGCTCTCCTGCAAACCTCGCTTGTTTTTTATGGGCCATGCACTCTGTATTATAAAGTTTTTATGCAGCTCCTCTCAGTTCACTTTAGTTTTACTATCCTAAATCATTTTTAGTTACCCATAAACATTGTCACCTCATTTACTAGGTCATTATGTATATGCTAACTACACAGGTGCCTATGGATACCCTCAGGTAACCTTTCTCTGTTGTGTAAATTAAAAACTTCTTCCTTGTCTTTTTTTACCATCTTTTAATCAAGTATTAAATTGGATCTCCCCTCCTCTTCCCTAACAACTAGTTTTCTTTGAAAAATTTGAGATGGGACCACAGTGAAAATTTTTGGAAAATCCAGCTGACTATATGAACCAAATAACCTTTATCCGCCGCTTGTGGATAAATCCTAACTTTTGCATTAGCCTCTCTATATAGAGTAATGAAAGAAACTGTGGGTAGATTCAGTGCATTTAAAACAAATGTTTTCAACTTTATTTTCTTCATTTAGTTCCTTTGGATATCGTAACAATAAACAAACAAAGTGACATTTTCACTCGGGCCTGAAATACAACTTTTATCTTTTAGTATGCCAAGTTGTATGAATTAGTTTTAAGTCAGCATGCAGTGTAGATCTTGTAGATGTCTAATTAACTGATTTGTGGCAGTAATCAGAAACTCAAACGACCTAAACTGTGCAACTATTTGCACTGGCAGATTACAAATGGAAAAACTAAGACCAGGCCATAAAAATTTGATCCGTCATGTCTATAGTCATAATAAAACAGTTATGGTCGGTGATTGATTATAGGAGTATTAAAATGAAGGGGAAAAAACTGTTTAAAATTGCATTGTCATCTCATATTTAGAAAAAAAATGATTGCCATTATCTTGACGTGTTTATCACTTTGAGACTGAGCCAGCTGTTATCATGTAAGTTCATTCTGTCCTGTAGCTGACAAATACTATCGTGTACTATCAAAATCATGCATGGGTCACTCTTGCAGCTGTAACAAAACAGGAAAGCAAACACAGTAACCATTTCTATTTAGGACTTCAGTCCCAGCACACATCCAGTAAGACTGTGGCTTGAAAGCTGAACCCTAAAACAGGCCAGATTCTTAGCTGTGAAGGTTTTATTCCAGAATTGATCACACTAGCATTCATACGTTATTTGTGTAAGTGGAAGAGAAAACAGAATCGGAGCCAATATGGTTTAAACCACGTATTGTTGATCTTGTGTGTTTGCCAAGGACTATTCTGTGCTTTCTAGTTTATCTGCTTCTTTCTTTTGGGGTGAGCCTCAGAGATGTAAAAGAGTCCCCTGGCTGCTACGAGTGTCTGAATTTTCTTTTCATAGCACCTTTTGCAGTTACTCTTCCCACCAAAGTGGTCTCCTGCGGGACCCTCTTTTCTGAGCACTACTCAGTGGTTATATTGTATTCTTGGCAAACTCTCAATTTCACGCCCAAACCCTAATCCTCACAAATCCAACGCTGATGCACATCTGGGCCGTGCTGTACCGTGCACCAAACGGTTCCCTTGCCAAAGGGACTCCCGGGTGTATTCACACACTACTACCAATGATATCCTAAACCTTAGCCTTACAGCTATCTTTTCCCTGTGTGTTTTCCCTGTAGATAAATTCATCAATTAACTGATACAATCAGAGTCATGCCTACTGCAAATCGTGTGGCCCTAGGAGTAATGTGGCTTTTGCTGTACACCGCAGTCATGGCCCTCAACAGGGCCACGTCACCTTGGTGTAAATTTGCACCTTCCTCCAGAATCTGCTGTCACTGTCCCACTGCAGCTGACAGAGGGGCAGAAAGAGTTGAGTAATCTCACACGCCCCATATGTTTTGCTTTCTCCTTATTCACTGTGCTTGAAAATGCTTGAAATACCTCTTGGGTTTGATCACAGGAACTAAATCAGGAACATTTTACACTCCTCCTTTAGCTTTCACAGTGAAAAAGAGTCAGATCAGAATTGCAATGTAGCTGCGGGCACCTGCGGCACCAGAAGACACAGATGGCCTTTGCTTGCATTTATGAAAAGGCAGGTGTGCTCAGAGAAGTGAGGGTGATGGGCTGCACTTCCTTCTTTTTCATTTCATGATGCTGGAGTTTCTGAAATCTAGAAGCATGCCAGATAAACAGAGAATCAAAATGCAGGGCACCTTGTTAGCACAGCATTACATTGTACTCCGGGGATCCAGGACCCAGGTCAACACTTCACATCAGTGTCTTCACGATCTCAGATCCCAGGAAGGGTATGGCTGAAGGGTGGTTTGGCTGGATGACATTCAGCACCTTGCAGGATCAGACATGAGTCAGCATCCTTGGAAAAGGCAACCTCATTTCTGACAGGCTCAGAGAATATACAAAAATATCAGATCCTGGACACTTCTTCCATGATTAAACACCCTTTGGATGATCTGCCAGGGCCTGCATTAGCCTAACTCTCTTAAAGCCACAGCTCTTGGCAGATGTTAGTCTCCAAGCCTAATATTCCTATGGAAACAAAATAATGACAAGTAAGCACCTGTGACAGAAAGACAGCCACTGTAGTACTATATTATAACTGTGTGATGGCCTGAGATGTTTTCTAGGTACATACATTGCCGTGGTGTTTTATGGGGCTTTAAGTAAAAGCAAGAATGGCTCAAGCTGAGCTACCGCCACCTCCTAGTACTCATTTTAGGTTTGTTAAGAAACAATGGTCAAGTTTTTTGCTCTGAATACTCTTTATCTTATCTCTGGGCAGCTCCTAGAGCCAATGCTGAGAACCAGGGCTGAAGGCCAGAAACAGAAAACAGCCAAGGGATAGCTTCTGAGGAGGCAGCTCCCTGTTTGGGAGGGAGCGCAAGAAAAGCCCACTGAGATGGGCACCCACAACGGTACCCAAAGAAGTTGTGCCTGCCTCCCCAGCAACAAGGAAAGAAGCTCCTTTCAGTCAGACCAATACGTGTATAGCCTGCTGTTTTAAATCCCTTTCACTTCAAATACTTGCAAGTATGCTGTTGAAAAAAGTAAAGATTTGGTTTTAAGCAGTTTGTCTCTCAGGATGCCCCAGCACTCAAGGTCTCTTGTCAAGAAGAGCTGTGGATAGCAAGTCCGGCCAGGTAAGCTAAGAATTTACCTGAGGGATCATCCGCAAAGTAGAAAAGAGTCCCATTTCAGGAGAAATGAAGGCATTTATAGCCTGATACTTCAAGTGGTGCCGGAAAAACTGGCAGGGATCAGCTCCTAGTAGCTGATCCAGTAACCATTTGTTCAGAATGGTATTTAACCAGAACAAAACAAAAAGTACTTTTAAGTTCCTTTCTCTTTCTCTTCTCTTTTTCTTTTAATCCCTTGTGAGCTTCGGCAGTGTAACGACATGAAATACTTCAACACTGATTGGCACGTTTCTGTATTGATTGGCTTCGCAGTCTGATTCGATAAGACAGGGCCAGCTAACACAAGCCACTAGAAAAATCTTTTGGAGTATTATCTGCTGAGATAAACTTGCAAAACCCCCAAGCCAGTCTATTTAATACGGCTTTCATCTAGACATATTTTGATATTAGTGACAGTATTGTGCACAAACAAAACCTGGGACACTAACAAAAGTGTTTTGTAAAAAGTGTGATTACAGTCCTACGCAGATAAAGAAGGCAGAGAGCCTGGACTTTAAATCCAGAAGTAAGCTAATGGAGGACTGACTTTAGCACTTGCCATTCCTTACATGTAACTCAAATTCTCCTCCTGCCCCCCAAAAACAAAGAGGAAACTCTAGGCTATTCTTGTTACCTTACACCACATCACATTAACGGTGTTACGCATTACCGTTCCTCTTCGGAGGAGCAGCTTGATATGGGACACTCCTCCTTTTTACTTCATCTTGTTGTTTTTCAGCTATTGTACTGGATCTGCCCAAAGTCCTCTCTCAGTTTTTACACAGTCTTTTTGGAAGTGAAAATCTTGCTGACTCAGTAGGAGTTTTGGCCGATTAAAACCCAAGCAAGGGAGGCAGGGCAAAGCCCAGTGTATATACTGCAACTTCTACCTTTTTAATCCTGCTTTCAGCCCTGCAGTTCCAAATTTCTGTGTTTTCCATAGGATGGAAATAGCTGTTATTGGAAGTGATTTGGGGGCATATAGGACATGAAGGGAACATCCTGGGATACCTGATCTGTTGGGAGCTACAAGCTGTACAGCATTCATTTAAGGCAGACATCCAGGAGAGAATCTGGGCCAGTCCTAAGCTCATGTATCAACCTGAAATAACTAATAAGTCTAAAGAGGAAAGAAGCAGTTTGAACGAGCTGAGCACTCTAAATTTCCTCAGCAGAGTTCACCTGGGAAAGGCAAGAAATATCCCTCACCCTGCTCAGACTCACACTGACAGCAGAGTAAGCCACGGGGATGTGCCTGTATACCAGACTAGGCAAGGGATTTCCAGAGCGGTTACCTGTTTTAACACGAACATTGCAGTGTGTATTGTTATCGTATTTTGCTCTGTTACAGTCATTTATTGGGGGAGGAGGCGGAAGGCTATTGAATACCAGTCTCAGGAGGTGTTTCAAAGCATCTGGCTTACACGCACACACACACAAACGTTGTCTATCCACCCTTCTGTTCAGGCTTCTACCTAAGGAAGGGTTTATTTTCTGAGAAGGCAACTGTTCCTTTACAGTGATGAAAAAGGGCAAATTATTAGGTGTACAAGGCGGGCAGAAGCTACAGTCAGTGTTTTTTTCTTTTAGGGCTGTCACCAGACCAGTTAAGGATCTCTCACCTAGTATCTTCAGTTAAGCAACTCTAAATCATCCAAGAAAAAGCTCAGATGGTTTCAGGCAACTTTTTCTTTTGTTCATGCTACAGCTTGCTATAAAAACAAAGTTTTCTGTATACCCCACAATCCGCTCACAAGCCCGATGGCCCTCTTTCTGGGATGCTGATGTTCCCTGCAGAGCTCACACAATATAGTTGCTTTTTTTTTTTCCTGTAGTTGGGGTTAAGTAGCATATAGATTCCTTAGACAGTAAAGCTACAGCAAAGCTGAGTGCATTTCTACCACCTCAAAACAGGAATCACAAGCAACAAACTGCCTGTGCAAAAGCTTCCCACACTTGGCCAGCACTGAGGTTCAGGTAGCCAAGCAGACAGGCAGAGTTTTGTTTCCATCTGTTTCCTAACACAGCTACAATATACATTCAAAGCTGCCATTATCTTAACAACCCGGTAATAAAAGTTCAGCCTTCCACTCCAGTGCAAAGGCTATCAGCTTGTTTCTGAAACTCGAATTCACTATAAATCTGCCAGAGAGCTCTGCCTGGTTGTACCCCAATGCTTAGCCTGCTTAGGAGCAGACGTCTTGCAAGAAGGGGCTGCCTAGGGAGATTGAAGTGGGACCTTCACAGATGAAGATGGGAGAAGGCTGGTCTCAAGGGTGCCAAACAGCCAGTGAGGGGGCCAGACTTTAACCTCGCATTCCCCCCTAAAGGGAAAAATAATGATTCATGTGAACTATTTCAGACAGGTTATCATGTTAAAAGGAGAAAACCAATTGGAAATCCCAGAGATTTGTATCTCCACTTGGATATCACTTTGACTTGGAAATAAGACCTCCTTTATGAGACCATGTGTAGACAAGTCACTAAGATGAAGCTTATCTGGGATTTTATCTTAATTTTGTCTTCTCCTATCTAGAGCACAGGCCAGTTTTTTAGGGCACACTGCCCGGACAGGGGTAAAGAAAGGAGGTATCCAAGTGTTAAGAGGAGCTCAGAAGTCAGCATGCGGATTCACCCACTCATTTTGATGCTTTAACAGGATCTAGGCACTTTGGAAAACCTGCAATTGATTGTGAGTTCTGAATCCTTTAGAAAAATCTGGCCTTTAATGCTGTGTAATTGTTGAATGTCTTATAATTACCTGCAGGTTTAAATGGTGGGTAACACACAGGCGAAGACTAAGGATTTCCTTTGCAGCTGAACTTTGAAAGCTGCTGCATTTTTTTCCAACGGCTTATTTATGTCTAAACTGCAAGGTCCAACTGTAAGTATATGATTTATTAAGGAGCAAAAAAAAAAAATCTTAAATACAAATTTAAGCAAAGCAATAGCGAACAATATACGTTTTCTAAAATTTAAAGCAATTGATAAAGTGCTCAAGGGCTTTGCACCTTTGATATGGATGATTCAATCTTAGGATTGAAGTGCACGAGCAGAGAGTAGTCTCATAGATTGAAACTGAGTCACACACTACAAAAACAAAAAACACCCTATATTCTGTGTCCAGGGGTGCTGTGCACCCTGAATTGGACAGAACAAATGAAGACGAGAGTCTGTCTGCAATCTTTGTTCAGAAGAAACTGAGCTGAAGTTGAAATTGGCTCAGCAGATAGCAGCTAGTAGTAGAAGAATGGGAATTACATCAGGTCATATTTAAACCATGTATCCCATGATGAGTTTATTCACAGCCAACAAAAACAAGAGTCTAACATTTTGTTCTTGTCTATGCTGTCTGCTCTAAGGGTGTCTAAAAATCCGTCTGTTGAAGAAGCAAGACATCACTGGATTTTGTTTTCCTTTCAGATCTGCATTCTTGCCTTAAAGCAATTATATTCGTTGACATCAGATTCATGAGTTACTTAATTTGGGCATACTGGAAAAACAGAACATATTAGCTACTAAGTGTGCCCTTTGCATGTGGAAAATCATTAAAACTTCAGAGACATTTCAGCTCTGATGGGAGGTGTCTTTCACTAAGTTGAATCAAACCATGCATATGAGGAAATGTTGACAGAATGTTGCTGAGTTGTAAATTATCTACAAATGTGAAATTGTTCTGCACTAACTGTGATGTTGCTTAAAATAATATTTACTGATGATTTATCTCCTAAAGTCACATAGATAATAGTTCTATTCCTCTCCTTTCTGCTTTCTCTTTGTACAATAAAATATATTCCACGAGAACTTACGTTGTACCGGATCTTGCCTTTTCTCATAGTTATCTTTTCTGTGTCTCTGTTCATTGATATATTTTAGTTCTCATTGGTAATAATTATATTAAGATTTCAATAGGTTTTCTGGGTATCTAATATAGCTGTCATATATATAAAAGATGTATGTAGTGGAGAGTATGTATTCTGATTTGTATGTGTTCTGTTTGCTACATTCAAATGCAGTATTTAAAATAGAGTACCACTGTAAAATGCAGCTGTGTGAAAACCTGTTATAATATTCCATCTTTGCTGTTACATTGACTTCTGGAGCTAAACTGCTTAGCTGGGAAGTAAAAGAGGGGTTTTATATCTCATGATAAAGGTAAATTGGAATTTGAAAAACGGACTTTTCTCTTTTGTCCATCAGTATCTGTAATATGGCCCAAATGAGACACATTACAGCTGAAGGCGCAGTTGAGGTATATAATTGTTACATTCATGGACTGTTGGTGGGAACTGCTAGGGCTGATGGGTGAGAACATGTTTGCTTAGCTTGACTGACCAACTCCAGAATGGGCCTTGCAAGAAAGGGAATTAGCCTGAGCAAACCTGTTCAGCATGGGCAGCGGTTCACCTGGAGCTCCCTCAACCCTTTTTGCATTATGAGCTATCTGAATGCACCTAAAGATCAAAGGAAAACATAAGAATCACAGAAGCCATTCTTAACTTTAGACTGCTGAAGGTATGGAATATTTCCAAAGTGCCGTCTGATTTGTCAGCCAGATCTCTAAGTCCTTGCTTGATTTTTACTGAGTTCTTACTGAGGCAAATTCTAGTTGCACTAAATCAGAGTTAATGCTGTGGGTCATGCGGGTCACACATACAGATCTGCATGTCCCACTTTAAGGAGACAGGCCCTGAGCACCTCAGGATGCAGCCCTACGTTTGTACATTTATTTAGGTATTTTATTTAATAATGTGGGCAACAAAGTCAGAAACAGGCTGGAGTACAGCTTCAGTGTCTGGCCCTGTCTTTCCAAGAAATTTAGGTTAATCCCTGTGCAACTTCTGGTGGCAGGAAGAGAAAAGAAGGTCTCATAGTTCAGGCTGTTGAATGCTGCCCTAACGAACTGGATCTACCCCTGCTGCAGCCACAGGTTTTCCGTGCAATGTCAGATTAATGAAACCAACTTGTCACTTGAGTTCGCTAATCACTTGTGCCTTTTTTTCTGCATGGTCAGCTTGATAATCAGAGGTCCAAAATGTTAAGCACTCACAAATGCAAACGAAGCCAGAGGATACATGCCTGAATATATAAGCGCTACGTAATGCTGAGCGCAGCAAGGGATTCGTCTCACCTAAGACCTATGTCTGTGCTCCGCTAATAATGTCTATGCTTCTCCAGTGAGAGAAGAAAGACAATTTAAGGGCAAAATTCCTTGGCATAAATGAGAGATCTATAAGCAGGAACAGCAGCCCAGAGGTCCCCACGAATTTCAAAGCAACATGATAAATTAGTGGATGGGCTTGATCTTACATTTTTCCTTTTTCAGTTCCCTGTGTGTAAAATAGAGGGTATCAGGAAGGCTTCAACTTTTTCCCTGTGAAGATTAACTAGTTTTTTTTAATATGTTGAGGGTACGAATCCCTTGGAAAAGCACAGGAAAAATTCTGCCTTCAGAGCAGAGTGTGCAGTCAAGGCACGGAGGCGCACCTTGGCTAGTGAGGGTGAAACAAATGGCACAATAGCTGCTGTTCTTCGAGGAACACAGCCAAAGGGAACAGCACGTAATCTGAACTGAGGAGGGTGAGCACGCACAGTGACCTTAACTCCAGCATTTCCTAATGGGAGTGATTGATTTTGCAAGAGCTGTAAAGATCTTTTAATGTGCTTTTAATACACTGCGACCTCTGTGTATTTGAGTCCACTGACTGAGTGTTTCTGTCTCTTCAGCAAGCTGTAGGAGCTGGACCTGATTTTGTAAGAAAAATTCAGTCACTTATATGACCCTTATATTTGCACCAAATATCAGCTATGTGAAACTGAAAGTCCTCTTACTAAGGATTGAAATTGAGCTCCCTTTATTCCATTACCTCCATTCTTCCCTTGATTTACCCAGCCATAGGAAAATCAACTGCTAGCTGTGAGAAGGGGCAATCCCATACGACTCATGCAGGAGGGACTATTATTCATAAAGGTCCAGCATTCAATCAATATGGCAACAGTTGTCTACCAGCTGTAATAGCTCATGCTAGCATGGAAAAAGGTAGTCAGATTTCCAAGTGATTCACTCTTTGAGAGTGGTTTGCACTGAAGCTCCAGGGCCTTCACAGCTTGAGGCACTTTACCAGTGCCTAATCAAGGCCTTTATCTTAATGAACAAAGCCACTAACAGATTAACACCAAACAACACCATGACAGGCTGAGGCAAGTCTGATTTACTTGGCATGCCGTAACAGTGCCAAAACTGTTCTGCCGTAACCAGGAGCAGGAAGCCGTACATAAAAGCTCAAATTTGGAAAGAATACTAGGTATGAAAAACACAATTCTGGACACCCAGAAAGAGCAGTTTCTTAAAGGCCCACATCAGTGAGGAGTGGAGCTCCACGTGAAGTCTGAGTGGACGGTGTTCCTCAAAGCAATATTACTTTATCACTGAAACAATACAAGGACAGATGGTACAGAAGAGAAAGAAGATGCAAAGCCTGCATTTTTCTCGTGGGTCACATGATTAATAAAAGGAAAACGTAACACAAGTGCAATTGACTGGGCTTCCCCAGAATAGTTTCTGTGCTGGGGTTGAAGTAAGAGCTGGTATTAGTATTTAGGGAGACACTGTCAAAATGACAGCCCTTGGTATCTGCTCGTGCTTCTAGGAGAATGTCCAAAGGGCGTAGCTCCTCTTCAGCACCTCAGTGCAGCAGCAAATACTTGACATCCCACTGAGAACTATCAGCTGCACGATTTGGCCCTAGGACTTTAATGAATCGCATAAATTAGCAGGGTGTAATTGCTAATATGATCCCAAGGACAGTTTGAAATGGATTCTTGCTGAGTTTGAAGTGGGGTTAGGATGACACGCTTCCTTGACTCCTGAAAATGAGGAGGAGTTTTAACCATTAACTTCCACAGCCAGGTCAGCCTAATCTAGGTCTTCACCCTTTTCCTACAGTTCCTTGAGATTTGAGGCCAAATGTTGGAAATCTTTATTCAGAAAAACACTCCAAAACCCTTCTTTTGATTTCTATCCTAAGAAAGGCTATTCAGCCTCAAGCAATCCCTAGAAAAAGCAGTCTCTGCATGGAGAGGGTAAGATTAGGCCTTTAATGAGTACTTCATCCCAGGGATTGATTTTTGGTAATGGAATCTCTTTTGGTTATTTTTTATTTCCTTCCCTTTGTTATTACTGTACTTTTATACTTTTTTTGTCCTGGCGTGTTTTCCAGACTCAGGGTCCCGTATTTAGTTTCCTTAACTTCTCCAGTATTCGTTCTAGCCATCCTGGTTGCCTGCCACGAGTATAAGTTTCCCTCCTTCTAAGTTGGGGGGCAGGGAAGGAGAAAAGCTGTTTCCAGTGCAAACAGCAGTGCCACTCTAGAGCTCATTTGGCAGGTTGTGCAGCTTGAGAATGAATCATTGCTTGCGATACTTAAATCTTCCTCCCTTTCTCACTTTCTCTGTTCTAGGGAGCGAGGAAGAGGTGGTGCCAGCAGCTTCTACATTTAGTAATGCACAAAGTAAAAGTAAACAGTTAAGATTAAAATTAACTTGATTTCTATTCAGAAGTTATGCGAATGGTGTGGCATAATGCTTGTCAATTACTGGAATTACTCATTTTTAGCAGAAACTGAAAGATTATAAATGAATCAAACCACCTAGCCTATGCAGCAGCTGTAGCCTGCTTCCCACAAGATGCCTCCAGTTCTCTTCTGTGCTTCTAAATGACTAATGATGATTGCTTTAATTTTCTCTGTAGCCCATGCTTGCTCTAACTAGCTTATGCTTCATCTCCGACCACATGTTGATAACTTTCCCCGAGAAACTGTCCGTTCTGAATCCAACTTAGTACTTCCTCTTGAAGCTTTACATGGCACTTGCAAGAGTGTTGCAGTTTTCTCTTGGACTGTGGTCTCAGTTTTAACGTAGATCCTTACAAGAACACCCTAAATACATAGAAGTTATATTTTGTGTCTACTTTTTTTACTTGCTGTTACCTCTTTTAAAGAGCCTCTTCTTCACTACTAAAAATTGAATTTTAGGAACATCATAGTGTAAAGTTCACAGCTGCAGCCGCAGAGTAACCAGCTGAGCCTGGACTTTCAGATCAGACATGGCAAATCACTCTAACTCGCGATACCTTTACACTTTGATGGACTTTGCACTTTCGAACATAGGCTCAGTCCTGCCCCCATTGATTCTCACAGGACAAGGGTACAATCTCAAAGGAAGCAAATATGTTTCATGTCTCGTCTTTCAAGGGTCAATGCTTAAACTCACAAATCCTTCCTCTTTGACATTATAATCTCTGGTTGTAAAATGGATTTAGTGGTTTAACATTAAAATTTCAGGCACAGTTAAGGCAGGGATTGCAAAAGAGTTAATAAGCAAAATAGTTTAACAAACTTTGGCAGAGAAGATTGAAAAGCTCAAATAGTCTCCCAGTGAAAATATTTCAGCCCCGAGTTTGCCAGTCTTCCTATTAAAAACTCTTTTAACTTTTTTTTCCTTTGTTTTTTAATTTGATCAGCTTTACTACTTCTGAAACTTAGAGACTTTTGAGCACGGGAGAAAGCCAGTCAAATTACAGGTAATGACTTTGCAAGCTTTTACACTTCTGCCAGCACATCTCAAACCTGATGTGTGATACCCTTGTTGTTTCGCTCTTGGGCCTCTGCTGAACGGTTATTGACAGTCACGGCAAATGGCTGAGGAATAAAGATCCAGTAGGAAGTATCAGAAGATTTCCAATTTCATTCTTCTGGTGACTCCACATACCACAGGTGAACTTCTGTCTCCAGGGCAGGTTGCATTCATGTTCTCATCTTTCCTTCCCCTTCCTTTTCCAAGGTTTGTGTTCTGGGTGTTTTCATCCATGCTTGCCTGAGCTGTAAAGGAAAAAACAGTGCCAGCCCCAAGCAGCGATTTTCCATCACAGCTTACCTCTGGGCATAGTCACACAAGGCTTAGAGTAGGAGGCCCAGGACACTCCTGCACAGGCTAATCAGCAGGGAACCCTTCTTCTGGTGACAAGAAAACATTGGCAGCGAAGTTCTCCCTCGCATTAGACCGTGTCTGTCAACAGAACCCTTTTCCTTCCAAAAATACACAAGCACAAGGGAGAGAAGGGCAA